GAGCCACATGTGGCTCCAGAGCCGAGCGCTGCTGACCCCCTGTCCTCGGGAAAAGAAGAAGACGGTATTGTACAACCAAGGGCGGAGGATGGAAATTTCCTTATTTTTTACCTTTATTATCTTTTTCACTGATTTGTACCTCTGGATGGTTATGTGTGTGAATTAGAGAAGTATTCATGTATTGTTTGCTTTTGTAAATTCTGTCATCAATATTGAATCTGCAGTTAATATATGGTTGTTGTCCATGCCATCAGCTGACTGCTTAAACATGAGGACATAGAACAGCTCAAGATGAGGAAACAATTTTCACTTCTTGTCCTCAGCCTTTCAAATTGGCAAAAGCAAAGATGGATCACCTTCAAACTTCTGAGAACGCTGACAATGAAAACAATTCGGTGGCATAAAAGTGCTTATGATTTAACTGCAAAATCATTGTCTAGACCAGCAATTTACTGTTCGCTAAAATGCATGGTTTGATTCAATATTCCTTTTGATGGGCTCCACCAATCAAAGCACGTATCTAGGCAAAGGGGTGAGATAACAGGAGGAGAATTTGGATTTAGAATATTGCCCCACCTACATAGGCTTGTGTTTGGATCAGTATAATGGGCTCATAGTGTGCAGTGAATCAACCTATGCAGTATGCATCTGGAAAGTCAAGTGTAGCACCAGCAGGGCTCAGGATTCTTAAATAACCCAATTCTGTTGCTTTGGCAACAGCTTCTCATTCTTGGAATTATAAAGTACCAGTCCACTCTATTTTGCTAAAGATAAGGACATCTGCCCAAAGGATATGCGTAGCTTGGTCAACATTTTGTTACTAAAAATAGAATATGGATATTCTACGTCTCATGGCTGTACTTTCATCCTTTTAAAAATTGCTGCTGTAGAAAAAGTGCAGGGGCTAATCACTGGGATCTTGTGTTATTGCCTTCTTCCCCTTGCAGCTTAATTTATTCTGGTCTCTTAAAGTCTTTAAGAAACTGGAAGGACTGTGGATCTCTCACCTTTTTTTCAGGGTCCTTAGCTTGCCTGTTCTTGTAAAGACTTGGGAGAAGATAATGTTTCTTTTTTAAGGAAGAAAGCTGTCTGGACCAGTCTTGGATAGCCCCATTGGAGGGTTGAGACCTAAGGGTTAGACTGAGAAGTTGTCAAAAAATCATTGAAGAAGTATATTTATGACTATATTAAGATTTTTAAATAACCATCATCTTGGCTCCCATGCTCCCATTTCTTAATCTGATTCCTTTCCAATAATAAGAATAACAACAACCAAGCCCTATATCTATTTGCTGTTTTTCACCAATGTTGTAGTTTTCCCCTTTAAGATTTGCTATCTTTATTTTAAGTATATTTTTGTACATCCAGGTTAAAACTGTCCAAGAGTTCAATACAACAGTGAAACTTTTCTGTATGGTCTCATTTATATTATATTTAGCTAAAATACTTACCATCAGAATAGATTTTCAGTTGCTGGGTTTTTTTCCTCCTGAAAAAAATCTTAGCACAGGAGATTGAGGCAAAAAGCCTAGTTTCATATATAAAGCACTTGTTCACTTGAGTGTAGTGTCTCAAAACTTGTAGCAGACTTGCCCTGCCGGTCTTCTGCCTCCTTGTGTGAATCAACCACTATATAGAATGAAGAACCAAATACTGACCTTTCCCCAGATGATTTCTAATTTTATGAATAGGTCATGATCTTAGGTCCAGTTAATAGTACAGAAGCCTGTACTGTCCAGAAGGAAGTAGATCCCAGTTCAGAAGAAATAACAATACTATAGCAATAGCAATAGCACTTAGACTTGTATACTGCTCCATAGTGCTTTTAAGTCCTCTCTAAATGGTTACAGAGTCAGCATATTGCCCCCAACAATTTGGGTCCTCATTTTACCCACCTTGGAAGGATAAAAGGCTGAGTCAACCTTGAGATTTGAACTGCTGAACTGCAGCTAGCAGTCAGCTGAAGTAGCTTGCAGCACTGCACTCTAACCACTGTGCCACCTCGGCTCTTACACACCAAGCTGAAGGAAGAAAATGAACAAATTACCCACTGCAGCTTATTTATTGTGTTTTCTTACTCCCTAGATTGAACTCGATTCTGGAGCCGATGTGACTGAGACAGATGGCATCCTGAACTCTAAGGTGTTGATGAAATGTTCAGCAG